CCAGAGTCTACCCTCTTCTATTCATTGGAGCTGTGAGCTTTATATGGTTACATATATGTAAATAATAATTTATTGTTCTTTGAAATTTTGCTTATCTGATCAGCCAGCATTTATAACCTTTCAAGTGTTCTTGTCCGTACATTACAAGAAAGTTTTTTCTATTTTGGGGATGTAGATATCACTTCAAAAGCCTGATAAAACCACATTAAAGAACAGAAATTCTCCACTCTTCATCAAGGACAGATCAATCTGGACAGTCTTAAGGGCACATGAAACAAAGATTTATGATTTCTGGTTTGGCCAATTCTCTCAAGGACCTCCACAGTAATCCTAAATACCTGGGTACTGGGTGCCTTTGGAGGTAAGCTCTTCTGACCTGTTTTATCAATGTTGATTCCAGAGGCTCTAATATGAACTAAAAGCCTCACCTAAAAATACTGCTTCGTTCATTTATTTAACAAACATGTAATGAGCAGTCACAATGTGCCAATCATTTTATGCACATAAAAGACTCTGGGGTCATAGCCTATTGAGAGAGATTCCAAGTACAGTTAAAATGGAGTGAAGTGATTGCTTCACTCCATTTTAAAAAGGAGGTCTACCCAGGATACTACCCAGGATGGAATTGGTAGGATACGTGAGGAGGCGATGTCAGGAAATGCTTTCTTGAAAAGGTGATGCTTTCATTGACTTTTACATGATGATTAGGCAAAAACTAGATGTATGGGAAGAATGCAATGGGAATGAAACTATGTAGAGGTGACTGAAACCTCAGGAAAAGGTTTCAAGAACAGAATATTCAAGAACAGAATATCCACTCTGGGTTGATGAAAGACAGGAGTTATACTTTAGTCCATGTTCCTTTTTTGGTCCTCAGTACTTCTATCTATTCAGTCTATCTGTATCTATTTGGTCTGTCCAGCCCTTTCTTATATCTACTCAGTTTTCACTTTGCATCAGGCATATTCTGTTATAGATTTTCCTTCTGAACTGTACCCTTTAAAAAATGTAATCTCGGGGCACCTGGGTGGCTCAGTCAGTGAAGCGCCTGCCTTTAGCTCAGGTCATGATCCCAGGGTCCTGGGATCGAGCCCTGCATCGGGCTCCCTGCTCAGCGGGGAGCCTGCTTCTCCCTCTGCCGCTCCCCCTGCTTATGCTCTCTCTTTCTCTCTGTCAAATAAATAAATAAAATCTTAAAAAAAGTAAAAAATAAAAAAATAAAAAATGTAATCTCTCTAGTTCATCATGGTCATACTGAATACTATTCATATCTTCTAAGACCATCAGCTTATTCTCTGCAAATTTAATGAGCATACTTTTCATTCACATCCTGATCATTCATGACTAAACTAAGTAAAGCCAACCTCAGACCTGACTCATGCAGAACACAATTTAATCTTTCCACCCACATTGATATTGACTCTCTGATAACCACTGGGTGTTGCCGTTTACCTTGGTTAAGTGTACAAGCCCCTACATCTAATTTTTAGCTTATAAGTGAACATGTTTGCATGAAACAAAATCTAGAGTTTTACTTTTTTGCAGGCAATCAACCTAATTGTTTCTCCCTTGTTAAAAAGAGAAAATATTAAGTTCATGTGATATAAGGCTTTCTTCCAGAGCCTTGTTTTTACTGTGATGACTTAAAGATGTGGCTTCCCTTGAGACTCTAATCCCTCTCTCTCTTTAAGAGGTGTTAAGTTTTCCTACACCATTATCACTCATCAAAATCAGCTGCTATGCTCTGTGTTTTCATGATTTCCGCTTTTGATCAATCTCAAGATTTTTTTTTAGTTTTTATTTTAATTTCAGTTAGTTAACACAGTGTTATATTAGTTGCAGCTGTACGATATAGTGATTCAACAATTCCATACATCACCTGGTGCTCATCACAAGTGCACTTCTTCATCCCCAGCACCTATTTCACCCAACCCCCCCACCCACCTCCCCTCTGGTAACCATTCGTTTGTTCTCTATAGTTAAAGAGTCTGTTTCTTGCTTTGTCTGTCTTTCTGTCTCTCTCTTATTTTTTTCCCTTTGCCTGTTTGTTTTGTTTCTTAAATTCCACATATGAGTGAAAGCATATGGCGATTGTCTTTCTCTGGTTTATTTCGCTTAGCATTAGACTCTCTAGCTCCATCCATTCAAGAAGAAAAGATTTAAATTCTAAAGTTGACATTAGACAATTAGTTCACAATGACAATATTTAGTATTATTTTTGAAGTTAAATATTTCCTATTAAAAAATGTGCAGACTGGTGAAAGCTGTGCTTTAGAGAGGCAGAGAGACTATTCAGGAAATGAAAAGAAGTGTTCCCTAGAGATACATGCTAAGGTCATTCAGTTCCTACTGAGGAACCATTCACATGACTATAAGATCCTCTCAGGTCAAACTGACTTCTCTGTTCATTAATATAAAGATGCCATAACAGAAATAACCAGTTACATATGTTTATAACTTTTACAGACTTATATTTAGTATTTTATTCCTTCTACAATCTTATGGGGTAGCTAGTACCCACTAAGTGCCAAATTCATATTTAAAGAATCCTGAAGAGCAATCATATACCAGGCACTGAGGTAGTCTCAAAGAAAAACCTGGGTGGGATCATGGAAAATAAATAAAACTCAGGCAGATAAAGGAGCACAGAGAAGGATATTCTAGACTGAATAAAACGTGCATAAACACAAGTATGCAATGTTAATTTGAAGGAATAGATGTGTTAGAATAGGGGAGCGTAGTTGAAAGTAAGAAAATGAAATGACAAAGAAGAAAAGCTTTGGAGTCTCAAAGTGAGAACCACATGTCAGCTCCCAGATGCTATTTATTAGCATGATAGCCTGAACAAGTTATTTTCCTCAGTTTCCTCACCTGTAAAGCAGGGGTGCGATGTCTGCTCCCAGGGATGTAATGAAGATTAGAGGTAACACGCCTGACACCATGCTTATACCCAGCAAGCATCTAAACATGGTAGCTATTAATGTAAGTTAATCCACCTTTATATATCATAAATAAAATTCCTCATCAGGTAGCATATATTACTTCAAGTCTATTTGCATAAATGGGATACTTGGTACCACAGGGCAGCCGAGTCACTGCTGGTAACAGGTGAGATTTTATAATCTATAACAGCCAGCAGGCCAATGAGCTTCAAGAGAGTGAATAATTCAGAGACTGGCCAGCCAAATGAAAGAAGGAGCCACCCTCAGAAAAGGCCTGGCAATAAACGGTCAAGAGTAATATACCAGATGACAGGCTAAAGTGGATGAAAAGAGAATGCAGACGTAACACTCCATAATGATGAAGACTATGATGACAGTAACAGCCTATATTTAAATACTTAGCATTTTTAAAATGGTGTATTTTTAAAATCTTTATTGAAGTATAGCTGACCTACAATGTTACGTTAGTTTCAGGTGTACAACATAGTGACTCAATAAGTCTCTATGTTATGCTGTTCAGAGTGCTTTTATGTTTATCTATCTAGTATAATTTTTACCTTTGAAGTAAGCACGACAGGTATTATTTCCTTGTTAGGGAAAATAGTAATATAGAGAGGTTAGATGGCTTATCCAAGGTTAGAGCAGAGCTCTATGAATGATGTCACATACCACATCTCCTGGTTTCCAAGAAGTCTATACCATGTTCCTTCTGCTTTGCTACACAGCTCCTTACCATAGTCTGCTCTCCACTAGGAAGAGCAACATGCTTATTAATTAGTCTCCATGAAACAGAAAGGTAACAAATGTATACCACAGAACACTACAAGTGTCAAGGTAAACCATCTGGTGAAACTGTTCCATTTTATAGGTAATAAAACTGAGACCAAGGCAGACAAGGAGATTTAAACTTATATAGTTATTTACTGATGCAGCTGCGATTAGTACAGATATCGTTTTTATTATACCAAGGTTATACATATAAGTATCTAATTTATTTCAAGAAAACCCATAAATGAAACTTAGTCAAAAAAATTTATTTACCAGTCACAATGGGGAAAAAAATACACCAAACACCAAATTAAAGTAATCAATATTACCTGGTTTTAAGGAAACAAAAGAAAAAAAGCTTATGTTTTAAGGAAAACGATGCTGTCATTTAGTTGTCAAAGAGCAGTCAGTTCAGCCTGAGAAAAGACTGGCATAAATGGGACACAGGAGTATGAGAAGAAAAACAGACACAGCAGCCCACTGACATTCTCTCTTCTGTAAGTCAACAGGACTATTCAAAGTAAGAGGCCTGACTATGAAGGTGTTCCATGAGGGCACTGCTCTCTGTAAGGGGCATGCTTAGAAAGGAGTCCTGAGTCAAGGATCCTGGTTATGGCTACTGTCATTGGACAGAAGCCTCCTGGGGAAGAATCACTTCTGTCAGCTTTGCTTGGAGGATAGGTATCTAGAATGAAACTCCAACCCTTCCTCCCACCACACTCCCACCCCACAAATACAACCTGCTCTTCTTTCAATGTCCTTCACCTCACTAATTGGCAACCCCCAACTTTCAGGTGCTCGGACCGAATACCTTGCCACCATCCCTGACTCCGCTTTTTCTCTCATACCCTCACATAAGCAAGGCTTTGTCCATTCTTTCTTCTTCTTCTTTTTTTTTTAAAGATTTGATTTATTTATTTGACAAAGAGAGAGAGTTAGTGAGAGCAGGAACACAAGCGGGGGAGTGGGAGAGGGAGAAGCAGGCTTCCCGCTGAGCAGGGAGCCCGATGCGGGGCTCGATCCCAGGACCCTGGGATCATGACCTGAGCCGAAGGCAGACGCTTAACAACTGAGCCACCCAGGCACCCCCATTCTTTCTTAAAATACATCCAGAATCCATCCATTTACTTTTACCTTCTCCATTAATATCTTATTTAACTAGATTATCATTATTTCTTGCTTGGATCAATACAAAAACCTCCTAACTTGTCTTCTGGATTCTACCCTTGTCCCACTACCAATTGTTCTTTTAATTTCTGCTTTTGTTTTCTTTTTTTTTTTTTTTCCCCAAATCAGTATAGCTTTTATTGCATCTTTAAAATATCACAAATAAGTCTGAAAAATCATCCGGCATCTTGCTGTTTCTGTAGATGGACAACTCAGATCTTATTCATCAGCCTGCTGAACTGTTCCTTTCTCAGAAACATAGATACCATCCAGAAATTTTCTGATATCCTTGTTTTTAACAGTTGTGGCTTGCTGAATCAAAGCAGCTGAGTTCGATACAAGTTCAATGTCATGTCCTTCAAGAATTAACTCATCTTTTTGGGCTTGAGATATAGAACAAGCAACACCTGGCCTCATCCGAACCCTGTGGAGGTACTTCTCACCCAAGAAATTTCGGATTTCAACAAGAGAACCATTCTCCTGAATAACAACGTTGATGGGGAAGTGAGCATACACAGACCTCATCTTGTAATGGAAGCCCAGTGTAATGCCCTTGATCATGTCCTGTACGTGACTACAGATAGAACAGTAGCCAGCTCTTTTTTATTTCCCCACCATTTGTCAACTCGGAGCCTCTTCTTCTTCTTTCCAAGAAGACTGAGTTCTACATTGATGTGATTGAAGTCCCTTTGCAGGGTTCCTCTGGGTCCCTCCACAGTAACTGTGTGTCCCTTCAGAGTGATGTTGACTTTTTCTGGAATGGCGACAGTCTGATTGCTGAGAATGGTCTTCATTCTCGCAGGAGATGTGGCAAAGAAGCTTTGCTTTTGTTTTCTAACTAGTTTTGATATTATTTCAAACTTATGGAAAATTGCAAAACTAGTAAAATGAACTCCCATATATGCTTTACTCAGATTCACCAATTGTTTATAGGTTTTGCCTGTTTATTTTATTAACTTCTCTTTTTCTCTTATTTTAATATTTTCTGAAATATTTAAGAGTGGGTTACAGACATGATGCCTCCTATATAATTTAGAGTACTATATTTCCTCAGAACAGTGACATGCTTTTACATATCTACAATAATCAAAATCATGAAATGTAACATTGATATATTAGTATTATTTAGTCCACAGTCTATATTCCAATTTTATCAACCATCCAGCAATGTTCCCTACATAGTTACCTTCCCTCCCCGTCATCAAGGATTCAATTCAGAATATTCATTGACTTAATTGGCATATATCTTTCATCTCCTTTAATCATAAACAAATACTCAGCCTTTCTTTGACTTTTCTGATCTTCATAATTTTGAAGAGTTTATATATTTTGTAGAATGCCCCTCATTTTCAGTTTTGCTGGTGTTTCCTCCTGATTAGATTCAGGATATGCATTTTTGGCAGCAATCTATGGTCGATTTTTATCATAGCTGCAAGATCAGGCCATTCCTCTGCTCAAAACTCACACCCAGAGAAGAAGTCTCTTTATTTGCTACGATACCCCACATGGCCTTGTACTTTCCTTGCAGTTGATGATCTCCCTGCCTGGAATATTCTTCCCCAGATATGTGAATGACTTGCTTTATCCTTCCTTCATATTATTACTCAAAAGACAGCTTTATTTTTTTTTTTTTTTTAAGATTTTATTTATTTATTTGACAGAGAGAGACACAGCGAGAGAAGGAACACAAGCAGGGGGAGTGGGAGAGGGAGAAGCAGGCTTCCCATGAGCAGGGAGCCCGATGTGGGGCTCGATCCCAGGACCCTGGGATCATGACCTGAGCCGAAGGCAGACGCTTAACGACTGAGCCACCCAGGCGCCCCAAGACAGCTTTATTTTTTATGGAGTTAGATAAGTTGATGCCAAAGTCTGTATGGAAAAACAAACATCTAAGGATAGCCAGGAAAATAATGAAAAGGACAAACTGTGAGAGGGTTTAATGATACCAAACATTTAAAAATATTATAAAGGGGTGCCTGGGTGGCCCAGTCGATTAAGTGTCCAATACTTGATCTCAGCTCAGGTCTTAATCTCAGGGTCGTGATTTCAAGCCCCACATTGGGCTCCACACTGGGCATAGAGCCTACTTTTAAAAAAAAAACTATAAAGCCACTATATTTAAAACAATGTGGTACTAGGACATGAATAGACAAAGGGAGGTGAAAAGAACAGAGACAAGAAGTTAATCCAAAAACATGAGAAAAACGGGGTGCCTGGGTGGCTCAGTTATTAAGCGTCTGCCTTCGGCTCGGGTCGTGATCCCGGGGTCCTGGGATCGAGCCCCGCATCGGTCTCCCTGCTGGGTGGGAAGCCTGCTTCTCCCTCTCCCACTCCCCCTGCTTGTGTTCCCTCTCTCCCTGTGTCTCTCTCTGTCAAATAAATAATATCTTTAAAAAAAAAAATGAGGGGCGCCTGGGTGGCTCAGTTGGTTGGGCAACTGCCTTCAGCTCAGGTCATGATCCTGGAGTCCCAGGATCAAGTCCCGCATCGGGCTCCCTGCTCGGCAGGGAGTCTGCTTCTCCCTCTGACCTTCCTCCCTCTCATGCTCTCTGTCTCTCATTCTCTCTCTCTCAAATGAATAAAGAAAATCTTTAAAAAATAAAAAATAAATAAAATTTTTAAAAATGAGAAAACCTAGGATATGATAAATGGCATCTGAAAGAACTGGGGCAAAATGGGTTTCTTAATAAGTGATGCTGGGATAAGGAGGTAGCCATTTGGAAAAAAGATAAATTTAGATCCATATCTCATATCATACAAAAGAATAAACTTCAATGGAATCAGGGATCTAAAAGTAGAGTATAAAACAAAACAAGACTAGAAGAAAACATGGATGAATTTCTCTTTTATCCTGGTATAGGGAAAGGTTTTTAACAATGACTCAAAATCCAGAGTAATTTAAAAAAAGACTGATTATTTTGCAGGCGAAAAAAACATATAAACAAAATCAAAACAAAACTTATAAATGGGGGTGGGGGGATATTTGCTTATATACCACAGGCAAAGGGCCAATATCCCTAACATATTTTTTAAAACTCTTAAGGGCACCTGGGTGGCTCAGTCGTCAAGTGTCTGCCTTCGGCTCAGGTCATGATCCAAGGGTCCTGGGGTCGAGCTCCGCATCGGGCTCCCTGCTCGGTGGGAAGCCTGCTTCTCCCTCTCCCACTCCCCCTGCTTGTGTTCCCTCTCTCACTGTGTCTCTTTCTGTCAAATAAATCTTAAAAAAAAAAAAGAAGAAACTTAAAAATACATAAATAAAAAAATAAAACTCTTAAAATTGAGGATCAAAGGACTGAAAACACAATAGAAAAATTGAAATAGACACGAGTGGACAGTTCACCACATAAACAAAGAAACTAATGCATTAATAAAATGGCTCTAAAACATATGAAAAGATGTTCAAACTCACTCATATTTAAAGAAATACAAATGAAAACAACACTGAGATATCATTGGATAGTGAAAAACTAAAAAGACTACACATTTTTTTGTTGATGAGGCTATGGGAAAGCAAGGACTCTTGAACATTTTTGGCAGAAATACAAACCAGTACAACTCTTCTAAAAGGAATTTGGCAATACCTACAAAACTACATTTACACCTACCTTTTGACCTAGCAATGCTACCTTTAGCAACTTACCTGAAGCTACATTTCTTAAAATACAGAAATACATACATACAAGGTTATTCACTATAGCATTGTTTATAATTGCAGAATGATGAAAACAATCTGAAGGACCATATATGGGAAAGTGGTTGAATAAACTAATAAAGTGGGTAAGACAAGAACTAACCTAAGTAACTTTGGAAATCAGAACTTTAACTATATTCTATAAGGCTACAGACAAAATGAATTGGACACAAATATTGTACTTGAGTGGTAAATTTGCTTTTCACAGGGTTGCGGGTTAATATTTCTTAAACCACTTTTTGAGTATTCTAGGATTCAGCAAAGAAGTAAATATATTGTGGATAATAAGAGCCAAGTTTCCCAAGACCAAAAAAAGAAGGAAAAGAAGGAAAAAGAGAAAACAAAAATGAAATCTGTGGTGTTGAATTGGAATTGGATGTATCAATATGAACTCATGTTTTTTAAAATATATAGAGATAGACATTAAAATAGACATAGATGTGTGTATGGAAAGATGTGCAACTGTCTCATATTTAGAGAAAGGCAAATCAAAACAAAACTGGGATACCATTTCTCACCTGTCAGTATGGTGAAATTTTAAAAGTATGACAACACATTCTGTTGGTGAGGCTAGGGGAAACATATATTTCCTAACCCTGTGTACTGGGCTTAGAGATGATGCCCCAGTCATAATGAGCACGCCTAGCAGACAGATCTTCGTGTCTAAGTATACATTCCCCCCCAAAAAGGAACCAGAGCTCCTTGAAGAAATGGCTAATTCCAGGACTGGGGCAAGGAAATTAGAAAATGAGCCATGTGGTGCTAGAAAGTAAGGAAATGATCAAAAAGCAATGGAGGACTGTTGAAAGGACACTTGAAAGGGCTCCCAAGGGCCAACTCTGAGAGAGTTTGAACAAAATAAATAATAATAGTAATGGAGAATAATCCACAGAATAAAATAAGTATCTATGAGTCCATATTGATACAAATAAAAACTAAGTAAATACTAAATAAATGGGGGGAAAGGAATAGCTCTTCCTTAAGAGTAGAATTCCTATTCATACCTGGAGAAGGAATGATGGAAATAGCAAATGACCATTTAACAAACACCACAGTAATAAACTGTTGCAGGCAAGAATCATCAATGGATGTTAAAATTAGTAAAGTAAAAGTATGATGAGAAACAGGATATATGCACGACCTCAAAGTATTTTCCCATAATATACTTATTAATTTCAAAGTTTAAAATAGTAATTATAGTAGAGAAATCTGGAAGATACCGCTATAACCAAGTGATCAAACTTAACATCGCCAGTAATTGGCACCTTGTGTTTCCTCTATATGATGAAGGGCACGTCACTTCTGTGAGGTTCCTGCATGAAGCACATTGCTAGCCTCAACCTAATTAGGAGAAAACCTTAAACTTTCAGGGGGGGAAGGATTTTTGCAGTCTGTTTTGCCTAATTTTTCTACTGCTGTGCCCTCAAGGTCTACAAGATAGCTGGCTAATATTCTTCTAAAGTGTCAAAGCCATGAAAGGAAAGAGGATTAATGGATGGTCCTAGATTGAAGGAGCCTAAGGAGACAGAACTAAGTGCAGTGTATGATTCTAGATTGGATCCTAGACCAGAAAAAGGACATCAGAGGGTAAAGGATGAATGTGAATAAGATTTTCAGATTACTTAATAGTACTATATCAATGTGAATTTCCTGGTTTCAATTATTTACCATGGCTATGTAACATGTTAACATTTGGGGAAACTGGATGTAGGGTGTATAGTACCTCTGTGTACTATTTTTCCAACCTTTTTGTAAGTTTAAGATTTTTTTTTTTTGAAGTTTGGAAAAAAAGTCGGGGGGAGGCAGCTTTACAATGAGGCTTTCCCCTAGCCTAGTACATATGCCCTCTGGCCCACCTAGCATTCCTTATCTACTTTTCTAACTTTATTTTCCAGGATAGCACTTATTAATATATGACAAACTGTGTATCTTATTTACTTTTGTTTATCATGCCTCACTTCGTGAGGGTAAGAATTTTTGTCTATTTTGTCTCACTTGTTTGCTGTTGTGTCCGCCATGCCCAGGACAGTATGTGGATGGTGTGCAGTAAAGGTCTACTGAACAAGTGACCATACACTCCCTGAAGATGTAAGGGGCCTCTAGGAGTACCAGCAATGTGAAACTCCAGGTTTAATATCTGGTAAATACGGCACATCTCACTCGGCAAGGAAAAGATGATAAGAAAGGAGCCTGCAATATCCATCTCCAACCTTATGCCTAAGAGACATGGTCTATTTAGCTGTTGCAGCACATTTTATCTGTACAGATTTACTCATATAAATGGTGAACTTATCATAACTGATTGAAGCCTATTTTAAAACTGCCTAAAAAACAAAACTGAGCAAAGGGAAAAGAAACAAGCAAACCTGCAGTCGTCACATTGACTGTCTGAGTCACAGGGGAATGATGGGGGGTGGTGGGATGTTAGGAAACAGTAAATCCAGGATTGAAAAGCCAAAATAGTCATATAAATCTAACACTCTTCTTGAATTTCCTGTCACAAAAATGCTAAGAACCAAACTTTCGTATTTAAGATTAGTATTTTCAAAGAAGTCGTATCATTCTCTAGGAGCAGTATAACATTTTTCAGAGACAATCTTTAGGTCCTGACACTCCACACAATTCCCTCTCTGCCTGGTAGTTCTCTGGCTGTATTTGTGTGGTGCTAACATTGTACTGAATGCTCCAGTACTACACAAGTCAAATATGGGTGGGCTTTTCTCATCTTAGGGAAAAAATTATGCTGATGGATGGAATTTAAAAGCTTAAAAAAGTAACATTTCTGGGGCATCAGGGTGGCTCAGTCAGTTGAACGGCCAACTCTAGGTCTGGCTCAGGTCATGATCTCATGGGTTGTGGGACTGAGCACC